GGAGCAGAACCATGTGCAGCATAAGCTGCCCAGCTGAGATGCCTTAAGTGTCGACTAACTTTCATCTATGAAGCCTCACTAAGGCCACATGGGTGGAAGCCGCCAGCTCTGGTCAGTGCTAGTAGCAGGTCTGTGAGAGTGGCCAGGGAGTAATGCTCGCTGCAGTGAAAATACTTTACCTTTCATCCATCCAAACCTTCCTCTGAACAGCACTGACAACTGATACGTGTCTTGAGATGCCATGATAGGCATCACAACAAGAACTGACACCTACTGAATTTGTAAATGTTAATTTAAGAACCTCGATAAGTGACCACACACTCAGTAATGAAAATTTTGGTTAACTTCACATCCTTTATACACTTATGTTCCAACCCCCAAGATAAAAGCTTTTGGCCCATGAACCCATGAAGGGTGGGTCTGATTCTAAGAGAGTCAGTGGGAGAAGCTGCCTTGCTTGTCAACACTCTATTTCTTTTAACAGAAACTTAGTCCCTTCTTCCAATCGTGGAGTAGATCCATATGTTCGTATATACCTGCTTCCAGATAGAAGATGGGCAAGCAGGAAGAAAACTTCTGTTAAGAAAAAAACTCTGAACCCCCAATACGATGAAAAGTAAGAAAATGTTTGATTGCTGCTGAAATAGTTACAATCTCTGTAACGAAAGGGCTTACGTAAGGTATGGTCCTGTTGTGCCTACGGACTGTCTTGTGAACGTTTGCAGGTCTTCTGAAAAAAATTGCACTTGAACTGTGGTTTGTGAGTACTGAGGGCTGGCCTTGCTGTGCCTCTGGTTTTGTCTGTCCCAGCTGTGGGAGGGCAGCACCTACTTCCCACACCTTCCCTCATCCTAGCAGGTTCAGGCTGCACTTGCTTCTTTGCACGCAGACATTCCCCTGCTTGTGTTTAACTCCATCATTGCAGAGGCAACCATTCCCTTGGGGTACCTCGCAAAGCCTGCTTCTCTATTCGTACTTCTTATTCTGATGTCTTTCCAAAAGTCAAAGGCAGAAACACAAAGCCTTTGGAGGCTGGACTGTTCTTCAGGCAGGCAGATAGATGTTGTCATTTTACCCTGCTGCCACCTCTTTGCTGACAGTGCCCTGCTGAAATGGAATGTGTTTTGTGTCAAACCAAACACAGTAATGCTTGGACACAGAGCTCTTTTGAGAGGTGGTTTTAACCCCGTGTTTAGAGGAAGGTACAGACATATGAAAACAGGTGAATATTGGGTGATCCGGGGTAGCTGTTTTTTCCTATGTTGGGTCCTTTCTGTACATGTCAGTGTAGGTCAGAAATGGAGAAAAGATTTAAAAGTATTTCATCGTAACACTCAAAACACTAGAGCTGTGGATTTTCTTCTGCCTATTCCTGTGTAACTCTTCTGATTTGGAGGCAGCACAGCTGTCAGGAATAGCATCTCTTTTTCCTCATCCTCAGTACTGACGTGTCCTGTACGTCCTCAATTATCTAAAAGAGGTTGAGCAATACTTAGCTCCAAAATACCTTACCTGTTTTACAACTCTGACTGGAGGAAAAGCTATTCAGGTGGGCAGAACTTAAGTGATTTAGCCTGGACAAAACTCACTTGACACTAAATGATGTGTGCCAGGGCTGTGAGTAAGAGCAATTAAGAATTTAATTGCCACAGGTTTCAACCTTTGTCTTCTCTTAATGTGGTAGAAGCCTACTTTGTAAATTTGGGGGGGCTGGCTCAGCTATTTCCTCTGAGTAATAAGGGTTGCATGGAAAACATGCTGATCTTCCATGAAGGGGGAAAATAAACAATGGTAAACAGCATTTCATCATGGGTGCATGTTTTCCTCCTTCCCCCTGGCACAGTGAAGTCTCAACAACAGTGTCATAGTCTCTCATGAGGCCTGGAAGAGATTTCTTACAATGTGAATAAAACCTAACGATAGAATTGCCTTTTCTGTGTCTTCCTTCTCTGTTGAACTTCTGGCCACTGATGCTGTGTTCTGTCACTGTGTTCTGGCCACTGATGCTTACACGGTTTTAATTGTTGATTTAAGTCTCTCCTTTCAAAACTTTACTTTTAGGTTTGAATTTTTTGAATCTTTGGAAGATGTCAAGAAAAGGACACTGGACGTTGCAGTGAAAAACAGCAGGCCGTTCATTTCACAGGATAGGAAGGAGCTGGGGAAAGTAAGTTTACAGAAGCTACGCTACTGTTTTAATAAGAGCTGAAGAGTCTGAATGATTCCTGTAATCCTGAAATGTGGTTCTAGTAATTAAGTCTCAGTAATAGGACCAGCAATCTGGAAACAACTTTTTCTGCCAGATTTTTCACCTGAAATAGGGCTGTATCCACGTGGAAGCTTGTGTGATCTCAGGTGATTTGAGTGCCATGCTGCTTCATTGCAGAAGGGTCCTCCTGAAAGGAAAACATGTTTCCTGGGATTCACTGCTGCCTGGTTGGGGAATGGCTCCAACAGTGTTAACAGGAAGCTGAGAAAGATGTGTGATTAAAACCCAGGGTTTGCCAACGGTCCTTTAAGATGGATTCTGGGAAAAGTAAACTGGAATCACTTCTTCAGGGATAGATAAATTTCCCATAGAGCCGCTAAGACACTGAGTGGCAGGGCTGAGGCGGGCTAATGCCCGTGTCCTGGGAACACAGGGAGCTCCTCTTTCCTGGAGCCTGAGCTGAGCCCTAGAATTTGAAGGTGGGTCTGACCTGGGAGGAATGCTATCTTAGTTAATCAATTTATATGCTGAATAATTAACGATGAAATAAAATTTGCTTTTTAAAGGTGCGGATTGACTTGTCACAGGAGGATTTAATAAAAGGTTTTGCACAGTGGTAAGTTTCCATCTCGGTGCTTTCAAACCCTCCTAATTGCCTGACTGCAAACGCAAGAGTAACTTGAACTAATCTGGTGGTTTTATCTAAGTTGTGCGTTAATCCAGGTGCTAGTGCAGCACCTGCCCTGTGAAACAGTTTTAATAAGAGACCTATATGTCAATTACAGTCTTCAGCATATTTGAAGTTACCATAAAAGCCACTGGGACACATAAGTAAAAGAATTATGTTTATTAAAGTAACCTTGCAACAAATTTTAACTTGGATAAAGATCTTAACTAAATTAATACTCTGATCAGCAATATATATATATGATAACATTTTTAATTACGAAGCCTTTATAGAAACTATTATAATAATCCACTTACAGTTTTGCTTGTATGTTCATTGTGGTTCAGACTCAAACCTTAAGCATTGGTCTGAGGCAAAGATTGAGAGCGAGGGTGGGGTTTTTTTCCCTTTTACGTCTGTAGTTAATGGCAGCAGTTCTTCCTTCTTTCTCCTTCAATGGAGCCCGAGGAATGCAGCGTGGGTAGTCCAGGAGTTTGCCATCCACGCAGGCAGTGAGCCAGTACTGGCCAGCGGGATAGTTAAACCAAGTTCCCCTGTCCCAGCCAGCATCTGTCTCTCATGTAAGGACATGGCAATTATGGGAGTAGGAGAAAAGTGACACACCCTCCTTTCCTGGTAAAGAGCTGAAGTCTGAGGCCATCTCCAAAGCCTCCTTTGCCTTGACGCCGATGAAGCACAAGCAATAAAGCAGCCTTAGTTCTCTCTGTTGTGCCAGTTAAAACTTTAAAGAAAGTCTTTAACTACTGTAATTAACTTATTGTGTCTGTCTTGCAGGTATGAGCTGACAAGGAGTAGACGCAAGAAAAATTGATCTCGTCTCATGTACATAAGTTACTAATTTTTCAACTTTATACAAATGTACATATCTCTCTTGTAATTAATGTGTTTTGAATAGTCACTGCAAATTTGAAGCAGTCTCCAGCTCAGGACATGTAAATGTATTGATCCTACTTGGAGATTAGTTCTGACTGAAGTAAAAACACAAAACATAAAAAAACCAACCCCACATTGGGAATAATTTGTCCCTAAATAAGAAGTCCTTTATTTTTGCTGTTTCTGGCATATCTCTCCCAAAGAACCCTTAAGTATGAATGTTCTCTTAAGGAAGTGTTGTACCTGGAGATATTTTAGACTGTCAATAAAGTGTCATTTCTTTGCTTGGCAGTCTCATTTCCCCAGGATCCTATTCATGTTGTTTTAACATGAAAGCATTGTACTTTTAAAAGAATAAATTTTTAAACAGCATTCTTCATCTGTAGGGCTACAGAACCCCTTGAAAGAAACTGTTTAAGACTCTTAAGAGCAATTGGTTTTTGAGAAACTAAGAAATTTATATTCTGCTGTTCAAAAGTATCTGAGCAGATTGTGGCTGCAGGTATGTATATAACGAGCTTCCAAAAGCAGGGAGATTAGTTTACCAAGATGTCATTAAGGCTTTAGTTTGTGATGCCTTAACATGTTTTGTTCTTTGTTACAGTACATTTCAAAATCTTGTAAACCTTGATAGCAAAGCATTCTGCCTGAGGAACAGCAGAGTTTTGTAAACTAAGCTTTATTAATATTGGAACAAAGTATTTTTGGAAGGTTGGTGTACTTGTTTCTGTACAATAAACTTCTAACTGTCTTGCATAAGAAACTTGATCTATGTCTTTCTAAAACTGACTTCTGAAGTATGACCATGGCCACAAAATCCATGCTAGGCAGAAACTCATAAACCACCACCTGAAGCACGCTTCAAATATTTTTTGGCCTAGGTTATATTAGTCTGTATCAGTCCATAAGCAGAAAGAATACTCACTGAGTAACAATATGCTCGCAATCCAAACTTATCTGAAAATACAAACAGCATTTTAAAATAGGCTGTCCAGAAAACCAAGATAGGCAAAGGATGAAAGTGTCATGGCTAAGGCAGTTACAGCACCTTTATCTCATGCTTACTGCGTCAGCAACATTCAAAACTCTCAGTGGTTACAGTCATCTGGCTTTGTGCAGACCCATGGTTTGCTCTCTGGGATTGAGCAGACCAGCTGATAGCTGTTACACTAAATTTTTCTTAAATTAACCAGGAAACAAGAATTAAGAAAAATAAAGAAATACAGCAGTTTTTATTTATGTCAAAAAATGTGAAACTGTTGATTAGGGTAACAGATGACAGAGGTAGCTGTAAAGTCATGTGCCTCAACAGATGCATGACAGGTAAGATACATCTTGCTAGAGAAAACCAGACCAACTCTTAACTAGCTACCAATTTCAGATTTCGCACAGTAGGTAAAATATCGTCCAGGTTACTGATCTCTGAAACAGAATGAAAAGGAAAAACAGTAAGGTGTATGTTCCTACAACATCTTCAAGTTCAGCCAAAATTCTAACTTAAATGCTAGAAATACAGCTAGTGAGTGAAATAAACTCTTCACATCTTTTAATGCTTTTGGAAATAACTCAGTTTAGTTTCTCTTAGGAGTGATATGATTTAATAGATGCAACAAAGTATTTTGGTCACTTCCTGAGGAAAGATGGAAAGAAGAGGAGAGTGAGGCAAAAGTTAGCACCTTCCCTCACATTCTCCTTGTTTTAGCACACCAGGAGTAAACAAAACACGTGTTAGCTATTTAAATTTTAGGAGGAAGCACCAGCATTAAGATAATTACAACTGTTGCAAATATTACTCACCTAGAAGGCAGAGCAGATCTTGAATGAGAGCTTGAAATGGTGGAAAGAAGCACTCGTGTTCTTCTAGCTTATTGATTATACTGGAAGTGCAAGTGAGAGCGTCAGATGAAAGGTGCAAGGGCATTTTAAGTTCATTTCCTTGGCTGTTTTGCTGTATTATGTCAAGACTTTCCAAATATGCCGCTACTTGGTAGTATATAAAACTATCTGCACCAAAAATGTATTCCCAGGTTTTGAAACCTGCAGCCAGCAAGTGTTACCTGTCAAAAGAGGATCTCTGATTTCACTGTTTAAGCCCTGTATACATCCTTCCTTTCCTTCTTACATGGCACCAGGTAGTTTTTGGACTGGAACATTATACATATGCTAAATACACTGCTTGGGGGTGGCTGATATAACTGCCTCAGAGGTGGAGCAAGGAATGTTTTATAAGCAGCTATTCCCTAGTTAAAACTGGGAGGAGTGCAGAAAGGTTGAGGGAGTTAGTTAGTATTGTTAACTCAGGATGTGTCAGACTTGCTGCCTGCTGCAGTTAATTCTCAGTACGTTTGCAGAGCACGTGCTGGATGCAAGCTCTTACAGTCTGTGTATGCTGTCATCTGCTGAAGACAGAACGTGATTTGTCCAGTTCCCAAAATATTTGTAGGCAGCTTGAGGCATACTTTCTCTTAGCAACAGCTCAAACCTTGCAACACTTTTTCCTCCCCACCCACATGCAGTATTTGCTTTGTCTCCTTATGAAATGCACGTCTTAAAAGGCTTATTTGATCACCTTATCCATGCAAACCATCAAGGTGTTTTGGAACCTTCTGGCCTTAATTTTTCTGTTTGCCAGCCTTACCCTTTTGAAAGTATTCAAGATTTGTTTCATGGAGGACAGGTAATAACTCCTTTACTATCACAGCTCCCCGGCTTTGTAACAAATTATTTACAGTTTCTTTCAGTATCAGTTTTATCCAGTTCTCTCAATGACTAAATTGGATGTTTGCAGAATGGTCACCAATGGAACAGCCCCACATACCTGTGGATGTCTTGTGTCCCCAGAAGCTGCTGTACCTGCTCCGTCACGTTCTCATTAATTATGTCACACAGTTTCCCAACAGTATCCACCACCACAGTGGGTGGAGCTGAACTGTCTGTGCAAAAACAAACACTCAATGTTTCTTATAACAGGAAAGTATTTTAGGCACAAACCAGTTATTGTTGGTGCCCAGATTTTATTCAGTTTTCACAGATCTAGGCAGACAAGTTCCATCATTCACAAAAACCAAAGTGCCTATGGTCAGAAATGAACTAGTGTCAGCTAGGAATTGTGATCCTCTCACTAACTCTTCAGTGGCTAAAGAACTTGTCAGAGCTGTGTATTTTCACAGCAGAGAGGGTACTAAAGTGCACCCTACAATGTCAGTGGAAATCAGCCAACTGAAATTACCTACAGAGAGAGGGTTATTCATAAGGTTCCTGTAACAGAGCAGAAACACAGTATAGGGGCTAAGCCAGCAAGAAACTTCCTCAATAAATACCCTGTTAACACCCAGAACTTGTTTGGGTTATTGGATTTTAAACTGGTTATATTTCAAGTAGAGAATGAAAGATGGTCAAGAAGAATTACAAAGTCAGCTCAAAGGAAACAAAGCTTTGTGGGGGAGAAAAAAAAAGAAAATCAATTTCTTCTGTTATTCCTTTCTTCTGCCTCCTTGGTATTCCTCAGCAACTGCTAAAGGCTTACAAATAATGGGGTTTAGCTGTTTAAACTGCCAAATGACAGCAACCTATTTTTATCTTCCCAGTGAAGAATATACCTAGTTTACTCATTTCTCAGCAGCTCAACTTATTTTCTATTAAGAGTTCAGCCTTTCACTTTTCTTCTGCCTTTGGAAATGGTCTGAACAAATGCTAGGCGATAAGTCTTTACCTAGTTGGAGGAGCTCATGGAGATTTCTCATAACGTTGGTCATTTCCCCCAGCTTTGTGTAAACCTCATTCATTCGTGGATAAACACCATTCAGAGAATTCACGTCAAACAACTTCTGGAAGTGAGAGACTATTGCAAACAGGGTTGGTAAGGACGGTGTCTGGCTGTTCTGCAGCAAGCGGAAAAAATAAATCATCAACATTATTGCTTAACAAAGCAAGGATTCTTTTAAACTCTGAAACATTCTTAAAACTAGTCTCTGAAGAAAAAGAGGTGCAACTTTCCTTATTAAATCACGGCATTTCAAATATTCTTAAATCTGAAGACATAATTTTAAAGACAGTTTTCAAACACAAATATCCAGCAAACCAAAAATACTCTTTTGAAAGCTTTCTTCTCTTCTGCCTGGTAAGTATGTTCATGTATTCTCAATGGTGACTGAGAAACAGCCAGAACAGGATAATACCTGAGACCACAGGGCATGCAAATTTGTTGGTCAAATGACTTTGATTAAAGCACTCTTCCCCAAGGTGAATTTATCCATTGGATTAAAATAGTCTTTGACTATTGAATGTCTTCAGACAGCCATTTCTTAAACCCTGCAAGGCTTTAAGATGCACAAATCTAATCACTGTGTGAAGAATGCATTTAAGAATGCCACAGAAACTTGTGATTCTAAACCCCTGGTAAGAATTACCTTCTCCTTATTTTCTATTTCTTCCAAAATTGCATCTGCTATGAACTGGAGGTCTTCAACTCGGATGGCTTCTCTGTTATCCTGTGGATCTGCACTGTGCCAGGGCACCAATTCCGCAGACAGTTTTCTCAAGGACCTATGCAAATCCTTTTAAAAGAAGGGAGGGGACACATCTTATTTCAGTAACTTCTCAAAGTTTTTTTTATTAGAGAAACAGGCATATTTTCTGTTTCTCATATGCAAAAACCTTCCAGTACTGGAGACAGTAAGTTTTTTGTTTTCATGGAATTTAAGCACAGTATATTGCTTACATTCTTAGATTTAAAAAGAACATTGATAGTCTAAAAATTAAAGTCATTCATATACTATAGTTTCAATGAAGTAAGAAGTGTTGGTCACAGAGAGTTTGGTTTTAAACAAAATTATTTCCCTTGTATTTAGATCACAAAGTTACTGTTCTGGCAAGACAAAAGGAAGAAAGAGAACGCATCATCATTAATGTGTGAAGTACACAGACTCTACAGCTTAAGTCTCTTCTCAGGGAGGCAGACAGTGAACAAAAACATTGAGAGGACGGGCACAGAGGATTATCTCTGCACGGTGCAGGCACACTACACACTTTTCACTTTAAAGTGGTATATAAATGGAGAGCAGAATTAATTTTAAAATTTAACACCAAGGCAGGCAATAACAAAAGCTACACAGAGAAAAAATCCCTACATGTAGGGAAGGGCCAAGCAGTGGTCAGCAGATTAAAGGCAAGTACAATAACGCGTGTGTTACCTTCAGGGCCATCAGCTGATCTGCCCACATTTCTATGGTAAGCGGAAGGTGCTCAAATCCACATTCCTGTCCATTATTTTTAATATTACTTTGCACTGGCCCTTTACTTCGCCTGTATATTAGTGGAGGAGCTCTTGGACTTCGCAGAATAGAATCAATATGGGACAAAACCTTCAACACCAAATAACAAATGTTATTGCTCAAATATGTATGACATTTTATAATAAAATCCCTCTCCACCAGAGTCATGATTGTCTAAACATTAAATCATAAATAGCTCCAATAAGTTCCTACCAATGAATTTTGCAGATGGATTCAATATGTAATAGATTCAAAGATTTAAAAATACACTAGCTAGAAGATATGTAAAAGTAATGCAAATATACTTCCTTTTGAGGGATATTTAACATTCATCCACTTGAGGCATTGTTACTTCCACAATTTACATTTGGCTACATTTTATTATATTTGCTTTTTTGTTTTTATTCAAAGAAAAATAAAAGCCACTATCTCCTCAGGCATGTTTAAAACCGTTAACATAAGGATCCATTTTCCCCAAGACCTTGAACAAATCCCCTGTCCTGAAAACACTTCAGCTAAATCATTGATTTGATGTTTGCCAACCTAATCTCTGCTTCCTTGACAGAAAAATTAAGAGCAAGTCTACATTAACTGCCAAATCCAGAACATTATGCATCTTGCGTAGAGGACTTCATCTGAACTCTTAGATTCAAAATAGCATCTTTCAGTTTACATAGTTAAACAAAACTCATGTATTATATTTCATTGTAACAGTATAGATAAAATTTGCATACCTGTAAGTATTGCTGGCAAACTGCCTGCAGCTGATCTACTCCTGTGATACTCTCAGGTTCTTTCTTTTCTCCTATTTTTTCTCCGGTACTACTCCCCGAAGATCTACACAACACATACACTGGGTTACACAAGTAGCCTTAGCAGGAGATAACTACTCTCAGCTTGATTAAAGAACCAGGTATGTAGCACATATTTACACCTGCAAAGTAAAATCTCCATTTTATGATGCCTACCAATAGAATTCCAGCAAACTGAACTAGCTGAAGAATGTAATACCTAATATAAATATCAATTTATCTCAAGTCTGCAGGTTGAGGTGTATTTTATGATGCCTACCAATAGAATTCCACCAAACTGAACTAGCTGAAGAATATAATACCTAATGTAAATATCATCAATTTATCTCAAGTCTGCAGGTTGAGGTGATTCCAGACTGCATGCTAACTTAGAAGGGACACCACCAGATGTACAGCTGTTCTGTTACCAGAGGTTCTGAAGACTTAAAATCCAGAATTTTACTCAAAAGGGTCAAATTCCATGCTCACAGTCTTTATCTGCTTCTGCTTGAGCTTCCTTCATGGCTTACTATATATAGCTCGCTACCCTTCCTGTTACATCTAAGATGACTTTCCCTAAAACTACCATCTAAATCATGCCCACTGCATGAAAGAAAAGACCAATTAAATATACAGGATGTAAAATGAGGAGCCAAACATTTTTAAAGTTTAAGTGAGTGATGTCTCTTTCAGGCTATAAAATATTTGGCATTCAGTATACACATGCACAAATGATTAAGTGAAATTACAGATAAAAACACTTTGTTGATGCTGGATCTCTAATACCTTTAATGTATTTTCTTAGCAACGTTTCAGAAAAAAAACTAAGTCAACTTCTAAGAATAATATGGACATAAATTCAGTAGCTGCAACATTTTGCCAACTCATACTTTCTCGTTCATAATCCATCATGTAACCAGTAGCTTTCTTTATAGCTCACGGAAGCAGCAAACACCACAGTTTGGTCCTGTCCGTATCGACTGCGAAAGCACTCAAATCAAATCCAGAAAGATGAGATAAAAAAGACACACTGCTGTGTCCCCATGTGGAAACCATCCCATCATTTCAGAGATTCACAGGGTGTCTTCAGAGATGTGGCACCGTTTGCTGCCCGTAACCAGGGTCTGAGGAACGCCAATAAGGGACATATATCTACATTACAGGTTGCAGAGTATCTTTGCCTTAAGAAGTTCAGAGGATTCATGAAAGTTATTGAAGAAATATACTTACTGGATAGTTTTCTTTAAAGTTTTTTCTAGTTTCTTCACTTGCTGCTTGCAAAGTTTTAATTCCTGTGCAGTTGGTCTGTTAGAAAGAAAAAGTACCATATTATATGTCTTGCATTTGAAGGTATCTATAAAACTCAGCCAAGCAAAAAAGTAAGAAAGCTTTGCCAGTGCCCGCAACATCATTCTGGAAATTAAATTCTGCAACATTTCTCCGTGGCAACAGCAATAAACAGCAAGGTAACCATCAGCAGTTGTTGTTATTGACAGTGCAGGGGGGGAAGGCTCACTGTTGCTGCCATATCTTACTTCTACAAATTGCTTTTCAAGGCAGGTTTCATACTACACTTTTACAATTGCTGGCACTTTCGGTTTCTTTCTTTGTAAAACAAAGTCTACTGAAGTGCCCTTACAAAGGATGATACTTATCCTTTCTCACCTCATTTCCAAATCTTTCTTGAGATTTATATTTTCAAGCAAAAGTTGTTCATTCCTGGCTTTTGTTTCAATAAGTTGTTTCTGGAAAGACTGCAACATAGCCTGCGTTATTTATTTCACTCATTCCATAATCAATGCACTTAAACAATTTAAAACACATACGAGTTGAGAAGGGTTTCCATTTGCCTCTACAGCAAGGCAGCATGGATGGGGAGTTAGTCGACTAAGATCAAGAGCCTGCTGCATCACACTGCAGGGGGAGAACCTGTGGTTAAGGAGGTTCATGCAGTTCCCAGCAAAGACGACTCACATCGTACTGAATCTCTGCATAAAGACAGCGAACCCTGCCCCGAGTTCACAAATTCAGAAGACACAGAATAGGTGGGGTAGAAATCAAACACACGTGTTTCTATGTGGCTCTTGAAGGGTTACCATTCAGAGGTCTGCACTGACTTATTCTCAGCTGTTCCATACCGTAAGCAGTGCTCTATAATTAGGAGTAGCATCTAGATTTAAGAATTCTTCCTTGCTTTTTACTTCGCTCTGTACCTGGTCTTCATCTTTTTTATATTGCCTATTGGGAAAAATAAATTGTTTCAGCTTACTGTAATTAGATTACCTCAAAGATCTAAGTTGGCTTAGTTGGCTGCTATGTATGATAATAATGTTTCCATAAACTGCAAAGTAAATAGAAGAGAAATTCTGCCCTAAGATCCACTGCTCTGCTCTATTATTTCTGGGAAGCTGTTCCATATACTAATTAAGTGCATTTATTCCTTGAGAGAAATTCCAGTACATGCAAATCCCATTTCAGTTTTCAAGATAATAATCTCAATTTATAGGAATGTCTCAGGCATCTGCTTGTTGCTGTGTACCATGTAGGCACCGCGATAGAGCTGAAAAGCTGGTGTTCCTTTTGTTCAGGGAGATTGAGCTCGACTGAGCACAGCCAATGAAGTAATCTTGCCTGTGAACCACAGCAAAAGGGGAAGGGGGAAAAAAAAGGAAAGAATAATAGCTCAGGTGTCCAAATGCCCCCAACTTCCTAGCTGTCCTAGCCTCCTGACTGAGCAGCTGCTTAGCCTGACTGACAGCTATTCCCTGGATGAATCCAGACTTCCAAGACCATTACTATCCTTTGCCATTTCTTGCACACTAGTGATCTCTGTAACACAGAATATTTACCATTATAAGATTTAAGAACAGTAAGGAGTACAAAAATTTTGAACAGTTGAAGGCAATAGATGAAACCTACCTTAGCTCCTTTTTCACTTGACTAATTTGAGATTCATAGTAATCAATTAGACAAAGGAACCTGAAGAAAGGAAAAATGGTATTTTGAATTTCAGATATTCTCAAACAGAGCAGCTTACAGAACTGCATTGCACTTCGGAAGCGACTGCTTCAAACAGTAGGTTTTCCTTCATACCAAACTAACATGGTCACAGTTTTCCAAACAGAAAAGTAGAGACATTAACTCTGTACCAGACTAAAAGTGACAAAATTATTCAACAGGAGACAAAAGCTAAATCCTCCTGACAGCCTCCTCACCTTGTGGCTACGTTTACCCAGCAAGCTTAACAGCGAGTGCTCGGGCTCAGTGACCACTGCAGGAAGTGGAGAGCACAGGTCCCACATAGCCCGAGAACACCCGTCTCCAGAGAAACCAAAAGTGCTTTCAAAGTAAGTGGTTGCAAAAAATAGAGCCACAAAAAACTGAACAGCTGAGAAACTGTCTTTCCTCTTTAGCACTTTGTAACTGTCTGTTTTGGAGAGACAGATGAGAAAGCACAAGGAGCCAAATTCAGTGATCCTCCTCTCATACAGTGAGGGCACAAGAAAAGGGCTGTGCACACAGAGTCCCTTTTAATTACTTCTCAGGTAAAGGTTACTGGACAGGTCTGGAAAAGCAGGTGACATCAGCACAAGGAGGCTGAAAAACTGGCAAATCTCCCATTATAGCAGAGCTATGGAGATACTACTGCAGGAGACAGAGGCTTGGAATACTTTCTCAGAACTGTCACTAAAATACCTGGGAAGGAGTAGAATAAACACGAAAGCCTGCAGTCAGCAGTTGCAAAGACCAGTTGTACTTCAGCAAACTGAACAGTTTGTTTGGCTTTGGGGGGTGATGTTTGTTGGGTTTTTTTTTTTTAATTTACATTTTAAAATGTTAGAACCCCAGGATGAGATCACCATAGCAGACACTGCAGTTCCAGAGTAGAGTGAATCATTCCCTTCTCTTTGCTGACACCTAGTGTATATAAGGGCTGATTCTTTTAATTTCTGCCATAGATGTATCCAGCTCACGTTTACTATGCAAGAAAAAAATACTGCACTGATGTACCTTTACAAGAATTCATGTTTCAGCTGGCAGCTATTTTTTTTTTTCATATAAATATCAAGAACAGTCAGTTACTTTAAAATCCATTTCTTCATTTAATGTCACAGGCCATTCCCCATTATAAGAAAATTGCTTACTGCTGATCCAGGAGAGACTTGGGTGCTCTTTTGCAAAACCGACAAAACATTTTGTTTTGAGTGGCAACACGCTGTTGCTCCTCCATCCCAACCTTGCACAGCTCCTTCTGCAAACGGGCAATAATCTCTTCCTGTTCTTGCAGCTTTTCCTGCTGCTGTTGATATTTTGCCTGTGAACAGATAATGGGAGCATTATGAAATTATTCTAACCCACAAGCTGGAAACGGTACATGCCCAAGTAGACACCTGGTCCCAAGGAGGCTTAGTACTGAGGTTTTAGCCGTTCTGAAGTGGCAGAGGAAGAAGGATACAGATACTTTTCTCCGTTACTGCTACAAAATTCTATATAGATTGAAAAATCTTAGATATAAACAGTGTACTGTTTATATCTAAACAGTGGGAGTGGAGCATCTCCCTTATGAGGAAAGGCTGAGGGAGCTGGGTCTCTAGCTTAGAAGAGGAGACTGAGGGGTGACCTCATTAATGTTTATAAATATGTTAAGGGCAAATGTCATGAGGATGGAGCCAGGCTCTTCTCAGTGATGCCCAATGATAGGACAAGGAGCAATGGGTGTGAGCTGGAACACAGGAGGTTCCGCTTAAACTTGAGAAGAAACTTCTTTACGGTGAGGGTGACAGAGCCCTGGGACAGGCTGCCCAGGGAGGTTGTGGAGTCTCCTTCCCTGGAGACATTCTAGTCCCGCCTGGACGCCTTCCTGTGTGATCTCATTTAGGTTCCTGCTCTGGCAGGGGGATTGGACTAGGTGATCTTTTGAGGTCCCTTCCAATCCCTGACATTCTGTGATTCTGTGATACTAACTCTATGACCCAAGACTCATGTTTGTTTTGATCAACGCAAGTATTTTTAGAGCTTTTGAAAAAAGTCAAAAGTTTGAATCCTCAGACAGCACTATCCGAACTACCTGTGAAACCTGCTGATCTTTTTGAAGTTCTTTGACTTGATTCTGTTGCTGGCAAACTTTAGCGATCGTCTCATCTTCCAGTTGACAGATTTTGGACTTAATGTTTTTCACCATATTTTCCAAATCATTAGCCCGCTGTTCTTGTCGAGATGCCCGACCTCGTTCCTGTCGTATCTCATCTCTGGAAAAAAAAATAAAAAATAAAAGAAATCCTTTATTTAAATTAAACTCATTTCACTAAAGACAGCGAAGGAAGCACAGGCCTAACAACATTATCTGATGACGCTCAATAATAGCCTGTGGCAGCAGGTATGAGATATATGCTGGTATGGGAAGAGGTAGTAGATGAAATAATGGAAGAGCTCAAAAGGAACCAGGGCAACATTGCTGCCTACTGAACAAAAACCACAGGAAAAAAGTCTTGGCCCTTGGGTGTGACAAGAGCTCCACCTGGCAGGGCATGGACACTGACACTACTTTTGCTTTGCATTAGTGGGTAAGTTCCTTCCACTGCGTCTCACCTAAGGAAACGGTTATCCTCCATGAGCCCCTGCATCATTTTCTGCTGTCGGTCGGTGTCTTCCACCAGCGTTTGTAACACAAGTCTTATTCCTAGAGAAGACTGACTGTCTAAGACAATCATATCTGGAGACATATAAAATAAGCAAAGTGATAAGGAAAGGCCTTTAATAGCTGAAGGCTGCATCTCTGCTACCATTTGGAAGTGACAGCTTTAGAGATGCCTTATGAACTTAGGTTTACTATTTCCAAATACAAAAACTTGTAAAATTAGCATTTCCTTACCAGATATATTTCTGCAGCTCTGGGGGGCAGCAAGACTCACCGGTTTCAAGCCATGATGCATTAATAGCTTGTTTAGTTTTTCCCATTCTACCTTCTCCTGCTGCAGTTGGGAGAAGGGGGAGAAGAGACACAAAGCAGATCAGCTCACGGTCTCCTCTCTTTCCTGCTGTGCAGGCAGTGGAAGACCCCAAATGCCCCCCAATAAACACAATGAACCCCCCAGACGCCCCAGCCACTACAGGAGGGCTTGTGAGACTTTGCAATAGGATCTGTAAAGAATAATTGGGAAAAGTGCACTGATCACTGTGAGAAGGAGAAATATGTGCAATGAGTAAAATTCACCCTTTTATAAAAGCCAGACAACCGGCTCTCGGGTGACTCCAACGCCCCGGGGTGCGGTGGGCCCCGACCCCCGCCCCAGCCCCGAGAGAAGCCCTCGGAGGACGCGGGTGCCCCTTTGGGCGGTTTATTGTTCGTTTGCTTCTTTCTGTTCTGTTTTTAACCACCAGGCAGGAACAACCGCCGCCTCAGCTCCACCACGGTACC